CCGCCCCCCGCAGCCAGAGAGTAGATGACGGCTGTTTAAATAAAAAAAAGTACATCTGGAGTGAGACTGTGTTACTTTATGTGTATTTTGTAAACTTTTTTCCTTATATAAATTATGTTTTAGCAAAATTAAAATGTAGCTCTTTGTTTTTAGTCCGTCTTTTCCTTAACTGCTCTTTTAGAGTTATTAATTTCCCTACCAATGACAAAATAAAATAGCCAATATTCTGAAAATGAGAACATTTTCCATGGCTATACCATATTAGGCATGAGCAGTTCATTTGAATGAGGTGCTAATAATTTAAATCTTTCTAAAATTAGTCTTCATTTACCTTCAGGGCTTAGTCTTAACGTACTTGAGTTGATAGTGCTTCTGCTTGGACACAAGCGACCTTGTGCCACTTAATCATTTTCCTAACGGTTTGTTTCTAAGAAAGGTGGAACAGTTACAGTAGCGAGAACTTGATTTTGACATCAGTAAATGCTACATGTTTTAAAATTCATTGCTGCAGCTGAAAATGATAGTGTTTCGCTCCCTTTTTAATACTGATGTTGGGTGTGGTCCCTTAAAGTAGTTATGAATAATGCTCATTGGTATTTTGCCACAGTTCAGTAGGTTCTGTGTACAGAGCGGCCGGTTCTGCTTAACTTGAAGAAATGCTTAAATTTAAAATCGGTTATTAGTGGGATTGTAGTTGTTAAAGAGCATTTTACCTTGAATGTTAACCGCCTCGATTCAAATGGATTTTATAGTAGAGAAAGAAGGGGAGTTAGCCACTATTTTTAAAGACTTCCTCATTGATACATCTCACAACAAAACCCTTTTTAAAAAGCATTTTTTAAAGAACCTAAAGCATATGGCCAGATGGTATTAAAATAAGTATATTGCTTTGTTGGATATATTACTGTTGTACGTATAGAATACTCTGATGTCTAGGGCAAGTTACTGAACCTCTCTTCGGTCTTCACGTCTACAGAAGGATTGTGTCTTAACTCGGGGTTAGAGTAAGATCACATGAATTAATGCTTGTACCTCACTTAGGAGAGCCTGAGTATTTAATAGCCGTTAGCCATTACTATCTAACTAACACACCCACGCACATTGTAAGTCACCTGCTAGTTTTGTCAGAGTTGAATGGTATATTTGAACCCTTACTTGGGGATGTTATATTTTATGTAGAAAAGACTCTTGCTGTTTCATATGCAATAGCTATTTGAGAGAACGGATAAATCTATGAGTTACCTCGAGTCCTTTTGCAGTTACTATATTTACTTTGAATGTAAAATTTCAGAATAAAATTGGGTATTTTCTAAACCGAGATAGTGGGATTAAAAGGAAGTTTTAAAGATCATGGAGACAGTTACATAGCGTTTTGTTCCTTGGCCAAGGGTCTTGTCTCACTCAGTAGCGGGTCGAGTCTGTGTACCAGCTGTTTATTATTGGTAAGATGATTGCGTAGTGCCCACTCCCCTAAGTGCCAGGGGCCAGCACAATACTCATCACACCTTTTTGCTCCTCATTTATCTTATAAAGAAAGTGGCCAAAGAGAAAACCACAAAAGCCAATTTGCTAAACTTCTGCAAGTGATCAGTACATGTAGAAGATACAGCATTTTTTTCCAAGCAGTGTTTCGTTCTGAAGGCAGTGCACATGTTGTGTGTAAATACTTAACTTTCATGGTCTGGGTTTATTTCTAATAAAAACAGAAGGAATGCCTTTTTTTGCAAGGACTTAAAAATGTTGATGGGCGTACTTCAGCCGTCTACTCTTGTAGGTGTTTCTTCTGTGGGTTTCCTCATTGTCATTTCCACCCTCGTCATTCACGTTCTTGTTCTGATTACCGTTTGCCTGGACAGCTGAGGTAACCCGACTGCTCTTACCTTTGGTCTTTTCCCTTTTCTACCCCAGCCTATGGGGACTGTTCTCACAACAGTCTTCTTAAAAGGGCAAATCTGATGGTCATTCTTCTGTTCAAAAACTTCTGTGCAGTTGAAGGTCCTTCTGAATGACCACCCTAGGACACACACATTTTCAAACCTATATCCCTCTGCTTTCAGTTTGAGACTTTGGGCAACTGAATTATGACAGTTTTCTCAACTCTTCAGTTTTCAAAACCTTCCCAAGTCCCTAGGGTTTGATTTCTAACACAGATTCTTCCACTGTTTCTTCAGAACATACGTAATGGCTTACTTTGCTGTGTGTATAAGAGTTAAGTGTTTTTTCTTAATATTACAGTGATTTTGTAGTATCTCCTCTCACATAATAGAATTTGAGCTTATGAAAAGCAAGGGCTGTACCCTATCATTTACGTCTGTCTTATAGCTCATCTAAAACAGACCTGAATGCAAAATTAGCCACCACATATCACAACTATTGATTTTGCTTGGTGTTATCTATATATTAGACAAGTCAAGATTGGACTTAAGTCAAAATTAAATGATCCCATTTTGCTATTTTTCAGGTATTTCTAGTTTTAAATCTTTTCAGGACTTCCAGGCTTAATAGAGAAGAAGGAAGGAAAAGCTGGGGAGGGAAGAAGTTGGAATTCTTTTCATTGCCCTTTAAATAAATCTTAAAGCTTTCAACAAAGCCAATTGGACTTTAAATTGGTCAGAGTACAATTAGGTGTGGAGAGAATATATATTCCCCCTTCTCTCTCTTGTCCTAGCCCTTTGCCTCTGGTTTCTCTTCTCTAAAATCTGCAAGACACCAAAAAGAAATAGAATTTAACTTTAAAAAAATTATAGATCGTTTACGAACAAAAATTAACTCCATGATTTTGACAACTAACAGTTACAGTGTATTTGGTATTTATAGCTTTTTCTTTCTCCTACAGAAAACCATAGGCAAAATTGCAACATGCTTGGAATTACGAAGTGCAGCTTTACAGGTAAACAGCGTTTTTTTTTCTTTCTAATGTAAGACAAAATTATTCTGAACTGTTCTAATAAACATAAGGGTTAATGCTAAAAGCGGTATTGTGTCAGAAGAGATTTATAGCAATAGGAATTCATGGGTTAAAGTCCTATTCAAAGATTTAGTTCATATTTAATAAGTTACAGAGAAAAGATATAACTTCCACTTTTTGCAATTTTTACCCTGAATGTTCCAAAATATAAAACCCAATAAAAAACCCGTTTGGGACTTTTCATTTTCTACTTTGAAAGCAAGAAATGGATTCATTTATTTTGGCTACTTTTTGAATATTTAGTTCTTGCCACTTAAAAAACATAGGGTGTAGGGAAACTTTTGTAATAAAAAGATGTAATATGTGTGTTTTAAATTCAGTCCACACAGTCTCAAGAAGAATTTAAACTGGAGGACCTGAAGAAGCTAGAACCAAGTAAGTTTTACTTTATTTTTTTGGTGGTACTCCTTTAGAAAGATATTTAATCTCTTAGAGATACAAAGATTATTTAGCATAAGGGCATCTGGGTGGCTCAGTCAGTTGAGCATCTGACTCTTGATTTTGGCTCAGGTTGTGATCCCAGGGTCGTGGGATGGAGCTGCACATTCGGTGTGAAGTCTGCTTAAGATATTCTCTCTCTCTCTCTCTCTCTCTCTCTCTCTGTCCTAAAAATAAAAAATAAGGATTATTTGGCATAGATGCTTATTCATTTCTGTTAGTATCTAGTCATGTGTGACTTTTTTGTGCTTTTATACGTCCTAAAATGTTATAGAAATGCTTAAATTTAAAATAAGTTATTAGTGGGATTGTAGTTGTTAAACATTTTACCTTAAATGTTAACTGCCTCAATTCAAATGGATTTTATAGTAGAGAAAGAAAAGGAGAGAACTAATTTTTTTAAAGATTTACTCATTGATACATCCCACTTAGTTACTACAAAGTCCTTTTTAAAAAACATTTTTAAAAGAACCTAAAGCATATGGCCAAATGGTATTAAAATAATTATATTGGTTTGTTGGATATATGACTGTTGTATGTATAGAATATATTGATGTCTAGGGCAAGTTACTTAACCTCTCTTCAGTTTTCACATTTATAAAATGATTGTATCTAACTCGGGGTTATATTGAGGACTACCCCTAAAGATTATAGGAATTATTATTCTGTTCACCATTATAGAATATGAAAAATTATTTGATTCGAGGTTGTACCTCATCCATATGTTTTAGCCTTTGTTTTGTTTTAACCACTTCAATAAGACTATACCTACTTTGGTAAGCATTGACAGTAGAGTTTCCTGGAGAGGAAAAAGTTACGGCCATTGAGGCCCATTTATGCTACCTGTCTTTGAAGACTACACTGAAATCAGTCCAGCTGTTTGCTGTGCTTTACGAAGTATTTCCTTGTTCCCATTTTCCTTTCCCTTCTTGAAAGCTTTTTTGAAGTAAACAGTTGCTTCAAATGTTTTGGTGGTTGGGATGTGCCAAATAAGGTTTTCTTATTGGTTCAAATGGATGTTCGCTTAGAGCAAATGTCTGTAATGTAGGCAAAGACCCAATGATTGAGAATCACCACGGTCCACCTTAGAACATTTCCATCGCCCCAGAAAAAAACCCCATCCCCGTTAGCACACATCTGCTTCCCCCGCTCCTCGATTCCTGGTCCTAGGCAACCGTTAATCTACTTTCTGTTTTTGTGAATTTGCGTGTTCTGGACATTTTGCATAAATGCAATCATACCATATATGGTTATATATTAGATTATTTGAAGAAAAGCACATCGATAGCTTTTTAAAAAGATGACAATGGGAGTGCCTGGGTGGCTCAGTCGGCTGAGTGTCCGACTTGAGCTCAGGTCATGATCTCATGGTTCATGGGTTGGAGCCCCGCATCGGGCTCTGTGCTGACTGTGTGGAGCCTGCTTCAGATTCTCTGTCTCCCACTCTCTCCCTCTCTGTCCCTCCTCTGTGTGTGTGTCCTCTCTCTCTCTCTCTCTCTGTCTCTCTCTCTCTCTCTCAAAATAAACATATAAAAAATTGCAACTGCAGTTATGATGTCTGTGTTATGTAATGGTTCTAAAGAAGATTATAATGTTCAGTTTTTTTCATGACAAAAATTATTAGGATTTTGACTTTCTATTTAGTCACTGTTTTTCATTAGTTTGTTTGTTTTTCAATTTGTTTCCAAATAAAATTTCAGAATCTTACAGATTTCTCCTATTGCCTTATAGGATCTTTTGTTGGTATTAATAGTTACCGTTTTTTAGAGTATCAGCTGTGGACCAAACACTCAGCTCCAGTCAGCTGTGTTTTGCTGGCACTTGCCCATGACTTCACAGTTTGTACATGTCAGAACTGGGTTTTGACCAGGTTTCTAAGTGACCCCAGAGCCTGTGTTCCTTCCACCATATTGTGTTGTTAATATCTGTAATGGTGCAGTATTGACATCAACCCTAAATATTATGGTTTTCCAGTTCAAGCGACCCATGTGTTAGTAGAAGATTGGACTAAACCCTGCATTAATCCTCTGTTTCTTGCTTTTGTGTCTGTTTTTATTTTTTTAAGATTAGGGGTGGGGATGGGAAGCAAAGATAGTACTATTGGGATTTATTTTGCTATACTTTGAATTTATATAGTGCATTTGGACCTTCTTGGTACTTAATTATCTTTTTGGGTGATTTTAATTTGCTCTTGTATCTTCAAGGAATGTAAATGTATATGTTATATCTCGGGATATGCTCTGTAATTTTGCATTTATCAAAGCGAGGCACTGGTTATGAGTTGGTTACTTGATCAGAATGAAACATTTTCTACAGATTGGTATTTGAGTGTATTTCAGATTGAGTCAGGCAGGCTTCTGCATCTTCTAAGGCCAGAAGGAAAGAAAAATTAATACATAGAACTCAGTTTATTCTGCTAATGTATTTTTGCTTTAAAGTTTTAAAAGAGATCTCTTGATAGTCTAGTCTGAAATTCGTACTACAACTAAGATCTTGAAAGTACTATTTGTTTCATTTTCTTTTGTTAGTCCTTGGTAATATACTACTTCTTACTGAAACCTATCCCCCTGCCCCCGTCACCTGTAAAGTCCTTCCATTGATTGATCCTTCGAGGCCCCAGATTAATCCCACCTTTCTCTGAAAGATTTTTCTCCCTAATTAAGCTCTACCTCCTGTCCTTTTTTTTTTTTTTAAATAAGTTTATATATTTATTTTGAGAGAGACACAGTGTGAGCGGGGAAGGGGCAGAGACAAAGAGTATCCCACATAGGCTCCGCGCTGTCAGCACAGAGCCCGATGTGGGGCTTGAACCCACAAAACCATGAGATCGTGACCTGAGCTGAAACGGAGAGTCAGACACTTCACCAGCTGAGCCACCCAGGCATCCCTACCTTCTGTCTTTCATAGGAGCATTTTTTTTATCTGTTATCGTAGTCCACCCTGTATGATTCTTACTTAATTCATTTCTCCCCTCAAGGAGATTGTGAATAACCTTTGTAGTTTCCCCACAGAGTCCATTGTAGTGCTCTGCATACCATACGGACGTGGCACATTTTTAAGGGGAATAGGATTGAATGTCTTCAGGGAATCTTATCCTGTAATTTAAAACATAACTTTTCGGATGGGAAGGTAGTGCTTGTTCATTTTGTCCCTCAGAAAAATGAAGCGAATTAGGCACAAGCAGAACACGTTTTGATAACTGTGTGTCATCTTCAGAGTGTGACCTTGTGGAGGGTGGCAGGCCAGACTGTGTGACAGTGGGCTAGGGGTGCCGGATGCTTACCAGCACTGGTGCACCGTCAACTGCCAGCCTTGATGGACTCTGTGCTCACAAGAACACCTTCCAGGAAGTTACAAACTGCTTCTCTTCTCCAAATATCCTAAAATATCAGCACTGGTATTGGTGGAAGAAAAATGCTGTGTAAAGTCTAAAGACATCAGAATCTGTTATTCCATAGTTGGTGAAAATAGAAACCTATCCTACAATTACAGAAAATGAGAAAAGATTGGTTATTTTTCTTCTGAAATTACTGATACAAATTAAATATCTAATTGAACATTTCGTTTTCAAAGCAGTGGTATACCTAAGAGAAGAAATACTGTTCAGTGCTTGTATTGTAGTACAAACACGAGATACTCTTAATAACTGATACCATTTTTGACTTCTTTATTGATTTTTTTACATATGTGGTAAGGATTCTTTTTCTCCCTTGTATAATTAAAATATCATTTCAGTGCTTTCATTTCCTTTCTTTTATTTATTTATTTTTTTGGAGAGCGCGAGTGCACGTGCGTGCGAGCAGGGGAAGAGGAGAGGGAGAGCGAGAATCTTAAGTAGGCTCCACACCCAACCATGGAACCTGATGCACGGCTCAGTCCCACAACCATGAGATCATGACCTGAGCCGAAATCAAGAGTCAGACACTTAACCGACTGAGCCACCCAGACACCCCTCAGTGCTTTCATTTCTGATATGAATGATACATGGTCTTTTTTTGGTCACCCACTTCCCTATTCTTAGTATTTAGCACAATACTGTGATATTGGAGTTAAATTAATAGTTTATTCACAATGAGCAATCATGCACAAGTTTAGAAAGGATGTTTTTATAATTTTAAAAATCATGCTTTTCAGTGAGACCCGAAATATTAAATACCGTGGAGAGAATAATATAATTATTATATATATATTCTGTATATATAGAATAATTATAGCTGTATAATAATGTGGGCTTATACTTCTATGGGACTTAAAATTTCCCATACAATTTCATATGTACTAATTCTCTCAACAGTCTGTGACAGAAGTAGTGTTCCCATTTTAGAATTGGGGAAACTGAGATTCAGAGTAGTTCCGTGAATGACACAGTGACAGTTGACATAATTACAGGGCTAAGATCTGATTCAGATCTTGTGCCTCTTCCCTCTGGCCTACCAAACTCCAGTTATGTAGCCTGTTTTCTTCCTTGAACAAGCCGAGCGAGGACCTGCCTCAGAGCCTTTGTGATTGCTCTAGCATGTTGGGTTTTTTTTTTTTAAGATTTTATTTTTAAGTAATCTCTCTACCCCTCGTGGGGATCGAACTCACAATCCCGATATCAACAGTTGCACGCTGCACCCACTGAGCCAGCCAGACGCCCCTCTAGCCTGTTTCTTAACACTTAGAAAGCCCTTGCCCCGGGGCTACTTATGGACAGTTCCTCTTTCCAGGTTATGGCTCACATGTCTTCCAACAAGTTAGTGTTGAGAGGCCTGCCCTGGTCACCTTAGCTAAAGTCCACCCTGTACTCCGCTTACACACTCGTCCTGTCCTTTCTAACGCTAATCACAGTCTAACACTGTCTTGTTAATTTGTTGGTTTATTTACTGTCTGCTTCTCCCGACTAGAGTCTCAGATCCATAGATGAGAGCAAGAACCCTCTGTCTTGATCACTGCTATTCCTTTAGCACCTAAAGCAGTGACTGGAACATTGTGGGCACTTGGTGCACATTTGTTGAGAAGAAAAAGAGAGGAAAGATGAGGGTAAGAGCTAGAGGGAGAGAGGGAATAAGAATGAATGAGAAGGTAGACACAAGCCGCAGGCCTCTCTCTCACTGAAGGACTCGGTAGGAGTGCACAGAGAAGTCCAGGAAGCACCCCGACTGCTGTTGGAGTAAGTCAGATGATCACAGTCTGTGCCCTGGGGTCTCCTACTTTGGGATGACGATGTTTATGCCACGGCTATTGTGTCCGCAGACTACAGCACTCCAGAACAAGGCCGAATAACTTGAGTACGAAATCATAGGAACGTTTTGGATTGCTCAGTTATCACCATGACTTCACCTTCATACAATTGCAGGTAGTTACTGAAAACCCATAGCACCAGCTACGAAGCACTGAATTACACACTTAACAGTGCTTCTGTAAGGTACCCGTAGTTCTAGTGCCTTCCCAAATGCAGGCAGAATCATAGAATCTCTTTACGTTTACCTGCCAGAATGTAATCATCGACCACATTAGAATACAGAGGTGGTGGGTGCCATGTTACCGAGAGACTTCTTGAGGATAAATCCTTCTTTGTGTATGTGTCTTTGTATGTAAGTACATATATGTCTGCAATAAACTATTGTAAATGACGTGTGGAAATTATAACCAGTTTTATCCAGTTTTGCCAGTTTTATGGAGTTGAGGGGAAATCTAATCAGGGCAAAGAGCAGAATGAGCTCATGTACCTCTAATTGGTTATCTTTAATACCGGTCTTTTAACTGAAGAACTGCAGGGAGGGAGGTCTTCTCTTTCTCGGCTGCCCCATATCTCACTGGGACCTTGTACAAAGAACTGTTTTGGAGTTTATTTTCCATCAGGGCTCTGAGACTCTGGAACTTAACTCTCCTTGGAGATCTGACAAAGTACTGGTACCTGCCGTGTATTACATATTTTCATTTTGCTGAGACCTTCAACGGACAAGTATATTATTGTGGTTCTGAATGATTCTACGATTGGGAATTTTTTTTAAGTATTAACATGCATAGTAAAATTGATTAAAAACCCGTCATTTCCAGTAAAACTTTTTGTTTTGATCCATGGAAGAATTTATGTATCCTCCTCTCTGTTTTTATTCTAGTCCTAAAGAATATTCTTACCTATAATAAAGAATTTCCATTTGACGTTCAGCCTGTCCCCTTAAGGTAAAATAAATAAGCACCACTATTTGTCTTTTCATTTTATTGTCTCATACTTATTTTTCAGATATTTCTAACTTTTTATATCAACATTACCATCTTTAATATCAATACAGCAATATGTTTGTCAGCATTTTTGCATCAATGTCTTAACTGTGAAATGAGTGGCTGTGATTCTTCTCTAGTATATTTATTTAGGTAGCTCATTATTTTATCTGCTGTTCTACATGTAGAAGAATTTTAGCACCTGGTGAAGAAGAGAATCTGGAATTTGAAGATGAAGAAGAAGAGGGCGGTGCTGGAGCAGGGTCCCCAGACTCCTTTCCTGCTCGAGTGCCCGGTGAGTATCCCTTATTTCAAACTGGACATAACTGAATCCAGTGTGAGGGTGTTGAGAACTTATTTGGGTACTTGGTACTGGGAAGTAGAACCTTCCCAGAGCTCATGCCAATCTTAAAAATGAATTTTCACTGCCATGTTGTTGACTGTAGCCATTTTGTGAGTATAGTCTGGAAGTATCTCACTACCTATAACCTGACCACCCTGAGGTCCAGGGATTCGCTAGGAGGACTCACGGGACTTAACATATAGTGTCTTCACAGCTATGATTTACTGCAATGAGCAAAGAGCAGAACAAAGTCAGCAAAGGGAAAAGGTGAAGTCTGGAGGAAACCAGGTGCAGGCCTCTGAGAGTCCTCTCCCAGTGAGTCACGTACCTCGTGCTCCATGTGAAATCTTGTCTCTGAGGGAACTGGTTAGAGATTCCGTGCCCACAGCTGTAATGGGGGTTGATCACAAAGACACCCTCTGCTTAGCTCTGGCCGGAATTCTAGACTCCCAGAAGGAAGGCGCATATTCAGCGTACGCCATATTGTTGGCACAGTTTATGGATAGTAGCCACTCTTACTGGGGAATGGTGGGAACGTGCCCCACATCCAAGTTCCTGGATTCTAGCCAAGGGGTGCCCTTGCCAGGAGGCCTTTCTGAGAATGAGTCTCAGGCCTGCTGTGTTAACTGTTTTCTGTACACTATCATAAGCACTTTTTAATGAATCACGAGTAGTCATGAAAACTGAATCCAGGGGGAGTGGGTGCTGAGCAAATGCCCTTTTTCCCATCCTGATTTGGGAAAGCCAGTAATGTATGGCAAGCCTTCTTTATTTGCAGAAGATCTCAGTGAGGATCTGCCCTTGGTGTAAGTGACCTAGGCAGGCACCCTGGATTAGTTTCTTACTTCTCCCAAGCACTGGTTTACTCTCTTCTGGTCTTACACAGTGCGTAGTTTTCCTTTGTGGTAAACTGGTCAACTTGGGAATGATAGCAATGGGCTATAAGGTTATCGTGCATTTTAAAATAGACTCTGGAAGCTTTACGGTAGATCTAAATACAGTCTGTGTGTCATGCAGATAACCCTCTTGGTAATGAAAGTATAGTAATATTCCGGTATTTTTGAAACTCCCTGGGGGAGGCATTCTGGGGTAGGAACAGCATAGGCTTGAACCAACAGATACGTGGGCTGGAGTTCCACTAGGCTCTGACAAGGACTACTTGAAGGACTTTGCTCTTGTTTCCTGAACCAGCCTGCACTTCAATTTCTTCATTTGTAGAACGGGATAATCGTAGGTTCTAAGATATAAGGTTACTGTGAAGGTTAAGCACGGCACTAGGTCTGAAGCTCTGAGCACAGTGTGTGTCGTATGCTGAGTATGTGGTGACCACTGTTGCTTCTCCCTTCACCACCCTTCAGCGGACGGTCGCGGTACCTATGCTCCGGGTTACTGGGGGAATCACAGGCACTGTCACGGTGGCTGTTCTTGTGAATGTTTCTTTGGTCCCGGGGCATTATTTCCAGCCTGCTTTGCTTGATGAGGAATGGGGTGTTTTTCTTACTTTTGTCATTCACGTAGGAAATTTCAAGGGGGTGAGAGAAATTATTTTGCTGTTTTACTGACTGAATAGCCGTTATTCTCTTTTCAAACCACATGTTGTAATTGATGTAGCTTCCAGTGCTGTAAATTTCAGTCCCGTTTGGTTGTTTGCTCACTTACTACGCTTCTGTGGCAAACGGGATCCTTAGCAGATGATGCGAACCATGGTACAGATTAAGGTCTTTGTGGGGTTCGGGTTGCTGAGTTGAAAAGAAACTAACACCATAAATTAAATCCGTTTGCTCCGTAAGATTAAACCCAAGCTAAATAAATTTTTGTATTCTGGTATTGCATTGTGATATCTCATTTTAGAGACACAGGAAGGTTACCAAACCTTTTGTTCCCTGAATTTCTTTTCCTAAAAGTAAGAGCACGTTTAGTTTAATTAACTGAATTTAGTTTGTGATATGAATGTTATTAAAAAGTAATTTGTAAGATTATATTTATTGAAATCACCACTGAAATAGGAAGGTGGCATTTAACATTTAATTGTAAAGCAGGAAAAAAATTTTTTTCCTTGTTACTTTGAGGGAATCCAACATTTCATTGATGCCTAGGCAGTGTCCGCATTTTGGTGGCAAGAGGGTTCTAGGAATTGTGACTTTTTATTTGTCGCTTTTGTGTTTATATAATTTCTTGAATTGTAAGTTTTTTGTGGCTTTTTTTTTTTTTAATTTTT